TCTCTTTTTCTTTCATACATGGGGTAGGTCAATAATCTAATGGTGTCTGAGCTCCACATATTAGTGTATTTTGGAAAACATGGTAATAGCACATGGAAATAACACTCAGACTGCACTAATTTTAAGACATATTTAAACTGACATATACCTTTTTCCTATGTAGATATATGCAATGAAGAAAGAAAATGATTTCATGAATTTTGTGTCCTAGTTTTAAATGGGTATGCATGAAAAACCAGCCTCGTTTTCATTTATCATCAGAAGAACTAATGAAAACCTACATGTAATGACCCCAGTTCTCCACAAGAGTAACCCAATAGCTTAAATACATCTTTTCAAGTCAATGTTTTAAATGTGATACTTGCAGAATGACTCTTGTCCTCATTTAAATCAGTGTCCCTGTTCCCACTGCTTCATGGACCAAGATTTTCAAGACCAGCCTTAGTAAGTCTGTATGTACAATACAGACTTACATGACTATTAATAATTTGAAAACTTCATGAGGAATTATATAAGAGTTGCAATATACCTCTGAAAAAATCCAGTCATAACTCCTCTTAAGTCTGTGAAGAAAGATGATTACCCAAATGTCTCTGTCTACTGCAGAGAATAAGCTTGCTCTGGCAGTGGGGTTCTCATTGTCAAGGCTATTGTTATCCATGCCCAGACACATGCTTTCATTCTCTTGCTATTCCCACAGTACTATCCAAAATTGAGGAAGGTTTTGGGGTTGGTTTGCTTCAGGTTTTTTGGGGGGTTGGTGTTTTGTTTTTGCTGGGGTTTTTTATTGTTGTTTTGGTTTGCTTTTTCACAAAAAGGGAAAAAGGAGACAACAATGAGTTTGCTCATCCAGCTCTGAGGTTGGGTGGATACCAGGACAATGCTCAGTGCTTCGGAAAGTTGAGCAGCATGAATGCTGAGGGCTACTCACTCCCTCTGGAAATCAAACCTAACATCATCTCTGGCTTGGCACTGTAACACAAGACGCCTAAATCAAAGGGTGTTATTCTCTATTTCAGTGACTTCTTCAGTGCTTTGAAGCAAGCAGGAAACAAACATTGCTACTATCCTCATCTCCAGACTGTCTCCCCATTTAAACATACAATGTGGTTCTGTTTTCCCCTCTATAAAAATGCATACAAGTTATCATGTTATTTATTTTAAATGTTCTATGATTTGTATAATGTCATGACATTAGATATCTGGAATACTAATTATTTTAATTCACTATATTATTTTAGTGTAACTAAAACCATAGTGGTGTTTAAAGTTACAGCTGTTGTATGAAGTACATAAAAGTGATATTCAGCTTTATTTAAAAAATATGGAACAAATGCACAATTTTTATCCCACAAAGCACATTTTACAGTAAATGAAGAGCAATGTAATTTTCATCAGAATTTGGAACTAAAGTAACTAAAAATGTCACTGATAACAATTCTACTGTAAAGTGGGAAAAAGCACCATATTCTTAAATATAAGCATTTTTACATTCATAAAAATTCAAAACTTTTTTCATTTTGGCAGAGCACTTCAAAGAAATAAAAAACTGTAGTTTAAGTTGCATCATACTCATCAACATTTTAAATGCTCAGCAGCATATAATATAGAAATAATCACTAGAATGTACATATGAACAAAAAGGAAAAGTTAAAATGGATATGAATGCTAATGTTTTTTAAAGTGATGCACACATAACTGTTTTTAAAGATATGAAACACATATTTCACGTTGACTCCAACTAAACTTGGTGAATCTGGAGTTTACCTGGCAAAAGGTTCATGAAACACAGAAAGACAATAGAATTTGTCCAACTGAAAATTTAAAAAAAAAAAAAATATATATACATAGTTCTGCATGTCAATGCACAGCAATCCTTCGACTTAGCTAATGTTAGGGAGTTTGATTTCTAAAATCAAATGGAAAATAGATCAACACACGGTTAAGGCATTATATTTAGCTTTGGAAAGGTCCAACTATTAAAAATGCAGAGGTCCTAAAAACATGTACCTGAAAGAAATACTAAAGGTACAGGAAATTAAAAACAAACACAAATATCCTATACCATATGAAATACCACCTGCTCTTTCTGTAAAATATATATTTCCTTCACACTGAGTAACCTCAATGCTTTCAGTGAACATACTGCAGTTTGTACAAACTTCCTAGCAAGTCTAGGAAGAATTAGGGCCCAAGAGCATTAAAAAGGTGCTTTTGTTTTCTTTTTTATGCACTCAAGTAACACATGCCAGCCTTCTTGTGAATTAAATTCCTACCATAAAAAATGCACCTCAATGTCAAAGGCCTCATATCTGAATAAAATGATTGCACAGTCCCACACAGATTTCCTGCATTGTCAGGGATTTCACCATCTCAGGATACTTATGGCACATTGATATTGGCACTTGTTAAAACTTCCATGAAAAGACTATGCCTTATATTTCTTAAATATATATATATATGTATATATATATTTGCATAAATTTTAAGGGGAAGGGAACTAGACTTGTATATTTATCATCTAATAAAATAGGAAATCTATATTTAAGCTTTACCAAGTTTTGCCTCTAAATTCATTTTATCATTTGAAGTTTCTGGATGGCATGGTTAAATTCATATATGTAAGTAACTCTGTATCACTACTATTGACATTTATTGCTGATAGTTCTCCAACAGCAGGTAATATAAATGGCTTTAACACATGGAGACATAAACATATTATGACAGATTTCAGGAATCTAACCAGCATTTGTTGTGCAGGAAAAAGCATACTTATTAATAGAATAGTTTCATCCATGATAATAAGCAATGAAATCTAAGTTACCTCATAAAACTTTCTATTGCAGAATTAGGACTGGAATAGCACAAGAAGATCATTTAAGATAACATGAATGATTCAGAAATGTTTTATAACTCTTATTCCTCAGAACAAAAAGCACATTTATTTGTGCTCTGTTAAATATAGTTTGGCTTACTTTCTTAAATCAAACTAGGTAAAAATAATTCTTTTATCTAGTGGCATATCGAGAATATACCAATGCAAATAAAGTTTTTGGAGGATTTTTTCCTATAAAGGAAGAAAAATCCCAATAGGCTACCCCCAAAAATAGATATTTTGTATTAACATATACCATTATTATTTGCACAGAACAATTTACAATATCAACAACTGAGTTAAAAAATAACAACGATTTAGTTCCACTGGACTTGTGCTTTCAGCTGCTCTCTCAGCAAGTACAGACATAGAGCAAATGTGAGAACAAAATCAGGATTTGTTTCATCCATAGCTCCTGTGTAAGGACTAGCATGGCATGTCCTTTGCTTCTGCAAAGTCCCACTAAAGCATCTGGAATTTCACGACTGCATATAAAAATGCATATCAAACTCACCATAAATATCTTACTTATGGCTTGTCTGCTTTTACTCAGTCACTGACTAATAGTGACTTTAACTATACACACATATAAATAAGCTTCGCACAGTTGAAGAATCCAGGAGTACCCAATTACTTTCCTTTAATTTCATTTTATATCTCATTAGTTATGTGGATAGTTCCCATGCTGCAGCTCCTTCCATCTCCTTTAGCAACATTTGTACAGGCATATTCTATTGTTTTTAAGTAATTTCTCTAACAAGGAGCAGGAGGGAGAAATATTCATACAAATGAAAGGGGACACTGTCAATACACAAACTGCTGACACATCCATTAGGTAAATAAGCTAGAAAATTTATTTCCTTTAGTTCTCTCCAGAGGCCTTTGCTAGCCTTGCTTTAGTCAGAAGTTTATTATATTGACAGTATCCTTTCAAAGGAAAATTCCAGTGCAATATAGAAATTATTTTAACCAGTTCATCAAAATCACTATGGGCTAATGCCAGACAGGTGCAAATGCACAGACACGTGTGCACACGTACATTCTATATGATGGCCTTGGGAGGGAATGCAGTCTTTCTTGCACATCACAGAGCAGCAGCAGTTTGCACCTTGGGAGCCTGGCTGGCCTGCTCTGTGGCATCAACAGCCATAGGAAAAAGTAAGTCTGTGCTTCCCACACAGTGAGATGTGTAAAGAATTTTAAAAGAGCTGTGTTTCACTGTAGGCTTGTAAAGACATCGTGCAAAAACTTTACATGGGCGCTGCTGACTTGCTCCTACAGCAATGGCTTTTTTTGCAGCTGAGGATTTAAGACTACTGAGAAAGAAGTAATTTTAAGATTAAAAAGAGTGCTGTATTGCTCTGAAAATAAAACCAGGAGAGAGACAGAAGCAATCTAACTAGTTTGGGAGTTTTTTGTTGTTTTTTCTTTTTTGGGGAAGTTTGGTTGTTTTGTGCTTTGGGTATTGTTGTCGGTTGTTGTTGTTGGTTGGTTGTGAAATTCCAGCTATTATAAGGTGCTTTTCACTGTCAACCAATATAGCTCTCGTGGCATCTAAAGTTTTTACACCTAATAACAGAGATTAATACTAATGATTAGTACCAGCAACAGATTGCAACTCTCCATGACAAAGTTCAAGACAGTTCTCACTCTAGGGAAACTGTTTTTGTAAATACATTCTTGCAAAATGACTTCATATTGTAGAATCCTTCATGGGACTTGAGCCTACTACTTGCTGAGAAAAAGTGCTAAAACATCTGGGTGCCTTTGAGAGGTGACATGACTTATGTTGAAAGAGGAACAGTTTCTATTTTTATCAGCATTAAAATAATTGTTCACCCAGCACTGCCACAACAATTTCGTTCTTTACATAAATTAGCATTTAGACATCATACCCACATGAATGGATTTGTGGATGTAGGTAGGCTTTGCTCACAAAAAAGTGTTGACATGTTTAAGGCTTAGTGAAGTGCAGAAATACTGTTCTGACAAGGTTTTTTTCCAAAGCTCATACCTCTGTTTTTTTAAACCTCCCCTTCCATCTGAAAAAGCTGGGATTTTGTGCATTAAGTTTTCTGAGGAAAAGCCACATGTAACACCAATATCAGAAATATCAGCTCTGGCATATGATAAAGAAGAAGAAAGTATTACTAAATGAGTAGTAAGGAGAAAAACTTGATGTCTGCTGTATGTAAGTACCAAATTATGTAGTCAGGGATAAAATTCTAGCCCTTCTGAAATCAAAAGCACAGTACTTGCTAAATCACATATGACTGTCACTGTTAATACTGTGACCAACAGATTAATTCCCAGATGCTTTTGCAGAAAACAACATAGTTGCTCTTGAGAGTATTATTCTATACACACTTCTATACAGCATCTTTTAAAGAAAAGGCATTCACAGAAGTAGAAATCTTGAATACTATTTAGAGGGACTAAAAACCTTTGAAGTATCTTTACTGCTTGAGTTCTCCAGGACTACTGATTAGTAGTCATGATTAGTAAAGGTAAGCAATTATTTCTTTTTACATAAATATATGGTCCTCTACTTTTTACAAAGTATCTGATCCATACAATTACCATTCATTTTGCAAATACTTTCCAGGCCTGAATGAAATTTATGTCTGATGAGAGTTACTTCAGTAGAAAGAAGAAAATTCAGATTGTGACCAAAACATGTAACAGAGATAAGGAGAAGGTATGAAAGGCACTTGTGTCCACAATGCACTGTCAAATATTCAGAACTTCTGGCACACAGTTCTAAAATTCTTCATATTTGATGATTGCCAGTGATTTTGGATGACACTTCAAACAATGCCTCCAAATTTTTGCTTGCCAAAGGGTACTTTTTTTTTAATATAAATATTAATCTCTATGCTGTCAGTTCTGAAATGATGAAGATGGATTAGCAGCTTGTCCAAAATATCAGTCAGGCCTTGTAGTAAACACTTTCTAGAAGCACAATGTTGGCAGAAAGCTTTTGAAATTTCAGTCTGCAAATGTCAATTAAAGCTTTAAAAGATTTGTGTGTTGGCAGAGATTAACATTCACTTGTCCTTTCATGTGGAAGAAATTGATCCCTTTCATTTGCATTTTCAGGTTCATCCAGTTCTTCCACAGGGTTCTTTTCTTTCAACCCACTATTTTCTGAACAAGAATCATCATCTCCATCGCTACGATGACCTTCAACACTGTGTCTGATGCCATAAGCAAAGTAAATGAGGAAGCCTTCCAAAAGGAAAAACAAAAAAAAGTTGACAGGGTTTTCAGGCATCAAAATATATGCATATATTTCTCTCTGGCTGAACATATTTTGCAAAACAATTTTCTTCTTCAGGTATCTGAATCAGAGCTCATGCTTCAGGTCTTTCCTGTTTCTATGGGAAATTCCAGTGCATCATTTTTACATAATTAAATGCTCTAGTAGGTCATGGAAACTACTAATTTATGTCTAGATGGAATGAATACAATTTTCTAGATCTAAAAGGACAATGACTGATATACTGGGAAGAAACCTTTTACAAACAGGTTTCTACATAATTTTGGCTATACTTACTAGGAAAAAAATTGTGGCTTATTGGAATTCTTCTTTTTACCTCAAAACTATATCTACGATTTTGACTGCATATAAATACTTCTTCTGAAGCATGCTCTTTTTTGATCAGAAATAAAAGCTTACTTTTAATACATCACAGAGGGTTTTTTTCAAATATTTAAAGGAAAAGAATGTTCTAAGATGAGATTCATGATTTCTAGTTTATGAAGTGACTGAAATGAACAGAATTACTTACCGAGTACCATCCAGAAGCTAAATCTAATCCAAGTTTCTCCACTTAATTGCACCATCAAGTAAATATTTACCAGTATACTGAATGATGGCAAAAATGGCAATAGTGGAACCTAAAAGGAAATATTTAATATGTTTATATTAAATATATATATTTTTTGCATATCACACTTCTGTTATATAACAAAAACTAGAGGTAACACATATAACCACTGATAAAGAATTGAACTTTTATTTGCTGTTCTAATATAGTGAAATTGTCTTTTTCACTGGGTTTAACCCCTAGTTTCTATATATCTTAAAAACTTTCAAAATACATTGTGTTTAATATATATTCTCTAAGGCTGTAGAAAAACTTTCCAGCTTGTGCTGAACATATACTAATGAATTCTTGTATTTACAGCTGAAAAATATATTTATATACATATCACTTCTTTCTGAAATGCATCCCCAGCTCCACCAGATTCCTTGACTTTCATCACTATACTTCATTATTTCCATTAAATAATTGATCTTAGAACATGAGTGAAAGTACAAAATGAAAGGACTTATACTCTGGGAGGTATGAACTATATTGTGGTCCAAAGGACTGCTGACAACACAGACAAGTGATTGTACTCTCATCAGTTTCTTAACTGTTTTCCAGTTTCTGAGTTCTCTGTCCCACTTGTTAGAATCCATCAAAACCTCTCATTAGAGAATAACAGAGTAAATATGTTATTCACCATAAAGGCCATTTTCTGCTGGTTTTGAGGCTGTCTTTGGATGAGGAGAATGGTAACTATGAAGGACACCACTAACACAGCAAGAAGGCCAATACTCCAGGGCTCCAAGTTAGCAATGAAATGAATCCCATATGTAGTGAGGACACTCAAGCCACAAACCAAGCAAGCTGTATGAAAAACAAAATTATAGAAAAAGTCAATTTCTGCATTGAAGAGGAAGTGACTTTTAAGAAGAGTTGATAGCAAGTCTTCAATATGTAGTATTATCATGAATATGTTTAATTAAAAGAAAACATACTAGACTGCAGATTAGATCGATCCATCAAGAAGTATAAAGGCATAGGATCATTATATAAAAGCAAATTAATTATGACAGAAAGAAGGCATGTTATCAGTGAATTTTTAATTCTGTCTTTAATAAAATCCATTATTTATGTTAATGCATTGTGATGGTTTGAGATTGGCGCCCCCTCGAGAGGGGGGCTCAGAGGTGACTGGGTGCCAGGGCAGTGTTCCCTGAAGAGCCAATCACCACTCATGTTGTTCGCTTCTGCTCAAAATCAGATATACACAGCCACTGGAAGCTGCTGGCAACTTTTGTTGTTGGTGTCTGCTGTGTGTGGGTGTGAAAGGCCGGGGGGTGGCTGGGCTCCTTCTTTCCCCCTCTCCCCAGGGGGGGAGAGGGGAGCCCTGCGGCCCCCCCAGCTCTGCCTAGGCCAGAGCAGAGTTAGAGGCAGCATTTTGAGTGTGTGCAGTGAGGGAAGAGACTCACAGCACCTGACCTGAGGTAAGAGGAGAGAGGCAGGCTTTGCAGCCAAGCTGTGGAGGGGGGCTTTTCCTTTCCCTCCACTGGAAAGTGGAGGAGAGGCTCAGCATTGAAGCTGAGCCAAGAGACGGGCTGGAGGAGGAGGCTCGGTTGCCAGGGAGAAGAATCCCAGGCAAGAATTGGAGATGGGCCAAGGGCTCGGGAGTTGCCCTGCGAAGCTGACCGGGGGCAGCCGAAAACTGACTTGGAAGAATGAAGATTCCAACGCCTGCTGTGATAAGCTGGACTACACTTACAGCAGCCTATGAGCCGAGGTATGAGACTGAGAGAGAGATCACACAGCAGACCAAGGAGGATGGACTCAAAGCTATTTTGGACTTCATGAGGAAGGAAGGACTTCCAGAAACAGCTGAAGGTTGGTTAGGGAGTGTTCAGGGACCCAGAACACTCCCACGAGAGAGACTACGTTACCCAGCAGCCTTGAAAGGCTCTTCTCCTGGACTAAAGTTAAAGGGAGGAGCTTTGAAGGGACTGACAGAAATGTAATATATATATATATATATATATATATATATATATATATATATTTGCCTTTAGTTTGTATAGTATTTATTTGTGTAAATAAATGTATATACTCCCCCTTCCCCTACAGAAGCCTCTGGTCTGAAAGTTTCTCTTCGGTGTTGGGATAAATTGTGGGAGGGGTTGGAGAAGCCTGAAAATTGGATTTTTGGATTTCTAATGTGGCTCAAAATGCCACATGCATATATGAATTTGGACAGCTGAATACTTACCTAAGAGACCCACTAAAAAGTTAACAGTAGTTGCTGTCTGCTCAGTTGGTAAACTGGATGGATTAATCAGGGCCTGAAGACTGAAGCGATTCTCTTCTATCATATTTATCTGTGATTCACTTACTGCAGATTCCCTTTCAGCTGCAGCCAAAGCTGCTTTTTCTGGAGAATATTTTGGTTCCTCATAGGTTACAGTGGGTTGGTATCTATGCATAAAACAAGTGGGATAATAAAAAACCATTAAGCTTACTTTGGGTTTTGAAGCAATATGAATCTAGGAATGTATTTAAATACTCAATTCTTTGCAGTAGTGCATAAGAATTTCACAATTTATAATTGTACTGCAATAGTGCAGTCAGATTACAGGAAGGATGCTGGATGAGGCATCCTGGGAAATGAAGTTCCGAAGTACTCCCACACATGGGCAGTGAGATGCCCTTGGTCAAGGGAGTCACATGTTACTTTGAGGTGCATATAAAAGGTGTCATCCAGCATCCTTCCTGTAACCCGACTCCTACTCAATAGCATCATTAGTCAGTATGATATATAAAAAAACTATAGCAACTCACTTTTTTGATGGGTTTTGGGGGGGATTTTTTGAACAGTTTTTAGAGCTACATGAATGCACAAATGGGTCAGATAAATGACCAGTCCCGCAGAGAAAGAGGGGACAGGCTCTGTTAGTCAACAGCAGAGAAAATTCCTGACTTGTTTCCCATACTGTAAGAGGCCTACTAACCTGCATAAACTGAAATTTCAAATCTGCTTTGTTAGCATTTAAGTGTATTTTTAAAAATACATATGGTAAATAAGTCACTATAGAATAAAATAGTCTTCTCTTTTAAAGTGTAGATTATTGCAACAATTAATTTTAACTGAATTTAAGCTGTTACACTTTTCTAAGTTAATCACTTACCCTTAAGTAATAAAGACTGACTTTTCAAGGAGAATTTTCTTTTAAAAGAACAATACATAATAAAGTGTATTGCTACCAACATATATAGCTACCAATATATAAATTTCATTCCACAGTTTACAAACATGATAGATACCACAGATTTACTGGAGATAATATTTGCTCTCTCTTCAAAGGCTACCATATCTTGAAGCACTTTTCTGATCTTACATTTCTGGCTAGTGTATAACAAAGCAATTATTTGAACTTGTTCATCCTGTGAAGGACCTAGAACATCCACACCTTTCACATATAGTCCCCAAAATGTAATAGGCGGATTGTATTCATATCAAAATATCATTTGTTGAATTCTGCACACAAGCTTATATTTAGTACCTTTGGGACTAATGCTTGCACCAATACTACTTTTGGAAAATAAAAAGTGTCTAGATTTCACATGAAGCTTTGACTTGACTAACTGCTATACTTCCATGAGAATACACCATTGTTTTCTTTGATGGGTCACTGCTTCTTAGAAATCATTTATAAGCTTACAGCTATTGGCCATCTAGCAAAAAACATGCCCTGTAAATGTGACTTCTCTTTATTTACTGACCAACACAAAATAAATCACAGTAGAATATGAAGGCTGTTTTTGACTCACCTAAGGATGAGGACACAGGTTGCCACAAGTGAATAAGCAAGAAGTGTACCAATAGACATCATGTCCACTAAAGCCTTTAGGTCAAACAAAAATGCCATTATAGCTAAAACAGGAAAAAAAATGCAAAATTTCCATGAGATTGACATAGAATCATTCAGATTGGAAAAGATGTTTAAGATCATCAAGTCAAACCATAAGTGCCAAGATTAATATTAAGACATTTTAAGCTAAGATTTTCAAATCTGTCCAGAGTCTAACTTTACATTGTTTTACGGGCAGCAGTAGGAGTGAAATGATGGTAATCCTTAAAACCACATTTTTGAAGCCATTGGTATAATTCCCAAACCTAACTGCCTACAGTTGGGAATCTAATCTATATAGATAGGCACTGGTGAGCCGCACAGTCATGCTGCATAATCAAACGCTTCATATTGGACTTATTTGGACATAAGTATTTGCACACAATGGGGCCATATTAAAAACACATTTTTATAGGATAAGGTTCAGATCCTGCAGCAGAATCTCACCAAAGCTGAAAGGATGGATTCCACTGCCAAACCGGGAAAAGTAATCCGATCCAGTCAGTCATTGGGGTGTAAAATTTCTGCTGAGCTGGGAAAAAGCTCTATGTAGAGAGCTTTTTTCAGAAGTTGCCTCAAATAAAATAATTTTGTGTTTTGCGGTTTTTTTAGTGGTTATCCTACTAAAAATAGTTTTCAAGTGGCCTTCAGGAAAGGCCAGTAAAATCTCACAAGAACTAATTTTTTTAAGATCACTCAACTCAGAGGCAGAAATTTTCATGATCCTGAGAGTAATTATAGAAATCTTGTGTCTATAAAAGCTAATGTCACGTTCCTTTGGAGATTCTGGAATGTCTTTTTTTGTCTATGCTGCCTGCATACAGATGCACATAGTTCATCAAGAAATTAGCAGAAGCCATCACTAAATGAAAGGCTAATTCCAATTGATTTGAAAAGAGCCTCTTAAAATATTTGTATTTTATTAACATTTTTGAGATGCAGACTTTTTGAAGCATCTCAAATAGCAAATCTCAACATCAAAAGAAACTTAAAGGTAGCCTTTATACACTGTGTATATATGCACACCCAAATTTTTCTATATTCAGAAATATTTATATTTAATATTTGTTACTTTTGGGTTTTTTTGTTAATATTTGTTATTTGTTAATGTATTTGTAAACAGCTGCATAAGTGCACAAACACACAAACACATTTGATCCTGAAGGAGGAAGCAAAATGTGATATTCTGAAAACAAGACTGCTGGATTAGAGAATTTTTATATCATTTGTGAGTCTCCTTTTCCAATTAAGGAAGGCCATCCTGTTTTCTTTAATGACTGTGGATGTTCCTGAATCCAAAAATTAATCTGCAGAGTAGATTTCTGATTACCTCACTGCTTTTCATGCTCAAAAGAGCATAGGTAAGCAAAGCTGAGGAAGAACAGAACCTACTATAACCTCATGTACAGTAGCTATATTTAATTTTTAATCTTAGCTTCAAAAGGCTACCCTGTAGTCCAGAATGTTCTTTAACATTAGAAATAAAGTGAAAAATGCCTCTGTTTCTTACTAAGAGAAAAAAAAGGCACAGTATCGCTTTTCCACTTCTCTTAATTCTACTCCAAGAGACAATGGTAGATCCATTTATGATGAAACTGGACTGACACCAAAACATTTTGCTAGACTTTCGCCATTGCAGTTATCACCTGTGAAAAGGTAAGTCACATAATACCATGAGACAGTTGCCTCAGCTGTAGTCTTAACCTGGTAACTTTAATTAAATGGCCAAACATTTCTTAAAGCTATAAGACTTTCATGCTACAAATGCATAGAAAAATCAGATAATATAAGCTGTTGCATACATCCATAACTATTCTGGCAGAACTATTTTTGGCCACAAGTTACCAAATATGCTTTTTTTTTTTTAATAGAAGAAGAAATTACTCTTTCTCCAGCAGTAGATAAAGCTGTTTTCAGATCAGCTGTTGACACACCAAATGCCCCAAACTCTCTAAAAGCAGTCCGATGAGGGTTGCAGCATAGCTACAGTGAGGGCTGTGTAACTGTATCAACCACTTTACCAGCTGGGTAATACGGTTTTCTTTCTTCTCATCATTACTGTGATTTCTGATAAAGATCTTGATTTTATCCCACAAAACCACACTTCCAAATTATTGTAGGAGAATATGTCGATAAGATAAATTAAAATAATATAAAGTTGAAACAATAAAAGTAACCCTAAGCAATTTATTTGTACTCTGACCAAAGAAAAGGGAACTGATAATAATGCTTCATGTGGGAAGTCTCCAGGCAATGACTGTGCCTTTCCACATAATTGTCAAGTATGCAGTGTGAGCAGTTCCAGTCTTGTGGCATCTGAAAATACCCTGCCTATAAATGAAAATATTGTGGTCTCATTTATGAACCTTTTATTTGAGATTAATTTTAGCCAGGGTTGCTAAACGTTCTAAGGCATGTATTTCATATTTGAATTACTTAAAAAACTTATTTATTTCCCTTTGAGTTAAATCCTTTCAGAGCTTCCAGTTTTCCAGGGTGATTAGACATAAGCTGAGATAGCTCAGTTGGTTAGTGCATGGCGCTAACACCAAGGTTGTGGGTTTGATGCCCATATGGGCCATTCACTTAAGAGCTGGGCTCGATGATCCTTGCGAGTTCCTTCCGACTCAGAATAGTCTGTGATTCTGTGACATTCCACATAAATGATGGAATTTGGGCAAAGCTACATGTACCTCTGCAAGAAGTATGGACAGAATCGAAACAGTTATATATCGAGAATTAACATTAAGAGTTGGCAACAGCTCCCAAAATACTGTTTTGCTAAAATATATGTAGGCATGTATGTGTATACATATATGTGCAGACACACACAACCCCCCAACATATACACATATCCCTCAACCACAACTTGATAAGCTTATGCAAAAACAGAATCATTTTCTCTGAAAGACTATTTAAAAATCTTTGTGTTTTACACAAAAATAGATCCTGCTGAAAATATCATTTTTTTCTTATATCTCATAATAAAAAATGTGTCAGTTATTTTCCCTCTCCCTTATAGATGTGATAAGTATATTATGAGTACATCAGACAAGGAAACCCTGTCAGTAGAGCATCAGCCTAAGGGACTCAGATTAAGTAATAAGCTTATTCACCTACAACAGGTTAATATTTAAAAAAAAAATTGAATTCTTTGACATTAAGGCCATCATCACCACCACCATGATTTGCACGATCGGGAGTTCTTACACCCTTTGATTACTCAGTAATTTTATTCCCATTGTACATGCAAGGGTAATTAACAAGCAGCCCTTTTCAAAAATTTAAAGTACCATGCACGTGCATAGAGTGTTTAAATCTCAGTTTTAAGTAACACGGGCTTTGAGAGCTTACCAGAGATGACCCCTGCTGTCAAGGTGGCAGAAACTGGTGCCTGCCTCTTACTCACTTTGGCAAGAAAACTAAAGAGTAAACCATCGCGTGCCATGGCAAACAGAATTCGGGGCAAAGGGAACATAGAGCCGAGAAGACTAGAACAGAAAAATGTATAGTTCAAATACAGGTTATTAAAAGCACAATGCTTTATTGGTAAACCCCACTACACAAAAAGAAAGCTTGGAAGAGTTAATGGGCTCAGGCATAGTTTTCCTTAGGCTCTGTGTTGCTGTTCTTGGTTTTTTGTTTGGTTGACTGATGTTCTTGGTTTTGGTTGTTGTTTATTTTGAACCTAGTCTTTGAAAGCACTCGAGATTAACCAGCAGATGCAAAATCTGCAGTAGAGAAAAGTTTTATTGGTAGCCTACTTTACCTAGCAACAATAGATTTGATCATTTCAGTCCGAAGCACGTCAAAGCTGCACAACAGTGGTTTATTTTCATATACGCAACATGTTTAGCAGTGCACCTTTCTTTACAATGATCAACTCTTAGTCTCACCTGCTACTGCACCAGACGATAGAGTAGCAACTAGTGGGGTCTTCGTTTTGGAATTGATTTGAGCTAGATATTTGAAAAGCAACCCATCCTTCGCCATAGCATAGATTACACGTGGTATTGGGAAAATGGATCCAAGAAGACTGAGTAAAAAGCAAACACATGCAACATGGCAAACACAGTTCATGCAGAGTTGTATCATGGAAAAGGTAAACAATGTTAATTAATGGCATCTATAGAAACAAAATGTATGGCTGTAAGACAAAACCAGAAAGCCCCATAGCCCAAGGTACTACAGGTCAGACACAAATAGAATTATTTTTTTTAACTGCAAAGTTGATTGCTTTTTTTAAAATATAGGTTTTTTAATTAATTTAGGTAATGAAATTGTGTCATCAGGCAGAATTCAGATTAGCAAGATAACTCTTGCCATCACCATAGTTCTTGGGTGTTAGTGGACTAGAAACATGTTCCAGATCACACTAACTACGAAATTAAGCTTTAGTATTCCTGGAGAAAGTCTGTCAGTCAGAAGCAGCCGCAAATAAATAAGCATTAGCAGCATCCCCTTCACACTGTATTTTCATGTGAGGCTGCTGATAAACAGTAATTCAAAGTAAGCACCATACAAGTATATTGGGCAGATTTTTTCTTTTGATTAAAGCACCTCTAGGTAAGCTTCATTAAGATTGTTCCTTTTTTTTTTTTGAAGAAGTAAAGCTAATTAATTTAGATTTGTTATTAGCAGAACACAGAAAGCTTTTAAACTATTGATAACTTGAAGCTCTTAGACATACTTCTTGAATTAGGTGATTTCTTTCCCTCAAAGAGAAATAATATTAATTAAGAAAACAAAATGCAAAATCATAGCCAGTATAGCCTCTGCAGCAAGCACACTAGTTTTATACCAGGTGAATGGTTTCTTTTCTTACTTTGCAGAATTGACTGTATCACTTAAAGAAGGCAAAGCTTTTACATACCACAGATGCTAAATACATCCAGTAATACTTGTCAGACAGAAGTGTTAAAGTTAGACATGAGAAAAGTTTTATTGCAAATGAACTGATTTTGATGTACGAATGTACGTTCCGAAAAGAATGTTTCTTTGCAGCTGTAGCTTTGTAAAATTCATTTAAACTACCCTTCTTCTAGTACATTCATATATATAATGTAAATATTAACATCTTTACCCTGAGGAAACAAGTTCATGAAATAACATAGTACAAGGTAACTGTATGAACCAAAAACAATCATCCCAGCATTTTTTCTTAATTATACCTCTACACTGAGGAATATGAAATACAGTTTCCTTTGTTTTGTTCTAAACTGACATCAGTCAACAGACTGAAAGATTAAACTCTCCACAGAAGAAAATATAATTCTTCACTGGAATACACTGGAAAAATAGACCAACAGTCCAAATTTCTAAAAAAGCATTTTACCATCTCAGTTCATTTTGTTTTCCAATATTAATTTCTTTAACTTAGTTTCTGCTTCTATGCAACTTTCATTATTTATCAATGTAAAGGAAAAATTCAGTGAAACCCTCCAAACTGAGGGTACCATGACAACTAGATAGAAAATAACTATAATCCCAGGATGAAATGTCTAACTGTGACATTCTTCAGTCAGCTCTACAATTCTTTTAACATCATTCTGGAACTATTTCCTTTTTCCCTCCCCTCCTACATCTAAATATTCCTTTCCTTTAAACCACTGTCCACAGTCAGCATGCTCATCATCTTCAGGCTGCTTACAAGGTTATCTTGGAGTGCTGTTAGCATTAGTGCTTCCACAGGCTTCATGTTTGCCTTTGTGGAAAGGCAGCCAGTATTCTCACCACTGAAGCTCATATAAATGACTCCTTACATAAGCTCAGGTAAAAGATTGGCATCAGCATTTTTCAGGCCCTGAATTTAAGTATCGAGCAATTCTCTATTCTATGAAAGCGTTTATACCACATCAAAATTGGGGTGTAATATATATGAATACATACTAATACATCTCATGCCCTCCCTGATCTTTTTAATCAAAGTAACATGTTAAGATTACATCCACAGTTTCACAAAGGGGAATAACTTATAATATTTTGACAGTTATAATCTATATCACAAACACCCACACAGAAACCACAGGAAAGGATGATGTCAGAAGACGGACTGGCTACTGGAGGAAAACAGAGGCAGGCAACAAAGATGAGGAGTGGAGTTTAGTTAATCCTCCCTTCAATTTTGCCTGCAAATGCACAGAGCCCATAGAGCTGCTGAGTCATCAGGAATGGACAGCAAGAAAAGACAAAATGGGTGACATTGATTTTACCAGTTCATAAAGATAATTTGCAGGTCATATGTTTGAAAATACATACTTTAATAATAAACTTCTACCAAAGAGATAGAGTTCAATAGCAGTACAGTTAAAAAAAAAGAAACCTAAATTAATGCAGCTACTGTGATGTAGACCTGCTTAAGTATAAAACTTGTTTATAATACTTACTGCTAATTCTTTGCATGGACTGAGCCTTCAAAATGAACATGTGAACATACATATAACTGTAATATATTATTCATCAGCTTTTCCCAGCAAAATCAGTATTTCAATGTCTTTACCTTGTAGACAAAGCACAGAGGGATCCCACTGCTACAACATATTTAGCAGGACCCCATGCAACATATTCAAATGCTACTGGCAGAGGACTTTTCTCATCCAGCAGATAGTATGGCATCATAAGTGTCAGTGCAGCTGAAACCCCAAAATAGGCCATGAAGCAGACAAGCAGGGACACCACAATTCCTATGGGTATGGCTTTCTGAGGATTCTTGACCTCTTCTCCTGAAAAAAGGGGGGGGAAAAAACCCCAAGAATTCTTATGAATTTGCACCTTCAGCTTTAAAAGACAACATCAAAGACAAACTGTTTGTTAATCTAAGTCATATCTGTAATAGAAGTTTTAAAAATCTGAGTGAAATAAGCTGAGAGACACAGAACAAAACTCACTATTTTGTTGTCAGAAATAGCATTAAAATAGAGGTAAATTAAAGAACATAAAATACATTGTATTTCTAGACTACTTAGAGCCCAGTATTTCTAGTTATTTACCTACAATTTATAGTTCAATGTACTCATTCCCTATCAGTCATATGCAAGCCAGCCTTTAAAAGAGACACCTCATGTCAGAGAATTGTAAAGGTGAGCAAGTGATTAACATTATTTGAGCAGAAAAATTGTATGCTAAGCACTTCCCAGACTTAGAAAGCAGCAATTAATTTCTTCAGAACAGGAAGAAAATAAGCAAAATCTCCTACTTCCTCCCATAACTATAGCCACATTCAGGAATGAACTTGGGTTCACTCTACACGGACTGAAGAAGGTTTGGGAGAAAGCAAAGAAGAGTAGACAGATTGTTATGTTGTTTGTGGGGTTTATGGGTTTTTTTTACAAAAAAATCATGTTAAACATACATACGCAGACATATAAATACTATACCAGTTGTTGCAATGCAGTCAAATCCTACAAAAGCATAAAAACAGGTTGCAGCACCAGCCAATGTTCCTGTGAAACCATATGGCATAAAACCACCACTCCCATATATACTTGTCACATTTTCATAGGATGAGATGTTCCTATAAAGAAGAAAAATACAGCAGAAAGAGAACTTATTGGTAGGACAAACACATGCACTCTCCTATCCTACCACTCTAGAGAAACGTGTTAAAATGTTCTCGTCAAGACAGAGTTCTGCTTTACAAAACTGCACGAGACAACATTTTTATGTCCAAGCTTGTAAGAAAGACAAAAATAACAGCAAAAGGAAGAACATATGAATCAAGTAACCATCATCTTACTCACTTTGAAGTTTGTGATAAAACATATTAAAACACTAATAGTGTATATACCAATAAAACGTGTAACAGAAAACTGCTTGGAGCACAAGCAAGTAAATAGATTTTTAAAAATTACTCTGTTACTGCAGTAAGGTTTCTGAGATATTCTTCACTTATTTTCCAGTTGTCAGCATCTCCTTTCACAAAACCAGAAATCATAACGAAGAGTAGGACCAAGATGTTAATAGCAGTGAAAATTTTATTCACCCATGCAGATTCCTTTACTCCAAAAGATAAGAGACCTGTAAAATAAAAATATTTTATAGATGTGAATGGTCCATTAAACTAATAAAATAGAATTTTAAAGAAGATATATATGCAAGTAGTGTTAATAATACTAAAAAACGACACCAGATTTCATACTTTTAAAAAGCAGTAGCACAAATTTACTAGACTCTTTAACAGCATGACAATAGGTAAATGTATTGGAAACCACAAAAGAGAATGCTTCTTTAATGGTATTCTTTAAGTATTTTAAAATATTTTGAGTAATGGCTACTTACTGCTTCTCTGAGATGCAAATCCATATCTCTATTTTAATCCATGGAGCAAAAATAGCTACAAGAATTCTATGCTTTGTAAAAACAGGTTGGTGGAATCTATTGTCCTTACAGAACAATTATTCTTTAGATTAAGAATAGAAGTAAAATTATTAGATTAATAATGTAACCTATTCACTCTACATTGTCCAGGACACATCCATCACAGAGTTAAGTCCCATTTCCTAGTTTAATAATGAAACCTTTTAAAGAAATCCATGCCTCCTGTTCATAACACTGATGCATAGAGATCCTAGAAAAGAGTATGATACAAAATACACATCCTTTAGGTTACAAAGTAAGTACACTTAGTACACAAAGTAGTGCACTTAAACAATCTGGAAGTTATTCCATCAGGATTATACTGTATCATTAGATTTATAACAATTTTAAGTGTACTAACAGTTTAATGGAAGAGCAGGCAGTGAGTAGATCAGGAAAAATTAAATACAATTGGAAAGCTTTCACAGGTCCTTTATGCTCTAAGCATTTCCACTATTATCACATACATACTTTACCTCATTATTTAGAGATTAAGTCTGAAAATTTTAAGCCTCTCAAAATCATGTCTGAAAAGTTTCTGACTCCACTAATGAGACATTTGCTATCTTATCAGAACACAGAAGTTATCTTATGAGATATATTTTTCTTCGCCAAGAGCATTTTTATTGGAAATAAGTGTGTGGTCTCTTCAGCTCAGTTTTTCCCAAAAAGTTAGTGTCTTAATCAGCCTAATACAGTATGATTCATAATTTGTGCATTTTTTAAGTCCTTTCTGTAGAAAAAAAATCCCAAACCAGATTTCTGTGTACTTTTCCTTGTGCTTAGCACATAGTATTTTCTGTAAAACATCACCTGCTATTCCTATGATTCAGCTTTGCACAGCTCAAAATCCAATTACTGTGTCATGCTTAGCCTACACAGCCCTGATCCATCCCCACTGCCTCTCCTCTCAGCAGTGAATTCTACACAGTTCACTCACTGGGGGTTTGGCTCCATATGACAGACACCAGGAGAGGCAACCGAGGATGAAAAGACAGGACACAAATGAAGACTCGGGGGCAGTGACGAAGCACAGGACAAACACTTTGTCTTCTATCAGGAACCTCTAATTCTTATGTTCTGAAGCAGCAATGGTAATGGAGAAAACATAGAAAGTGGCAGCATCTGTACTAGCACTGTATAGTTCGGTTTGTGGAGTTTCAGTGCTCTGCTATTCAAAGTGTTACTTTTTCCTCCTTTACTTGGAAGAGGTGAAACTGAAATGTCCATCCCACCTGAGGACATAAGGATCTAAACTGGTCCTATAGGCAATTCTGAGCCACAAACATGGCAGGATGCTGGACTAAACCTTGTCAAGTAAACTCCCGGATCTTCCTAAGTGTAGGAACTCATCCTTTTGCATACAGAGACCTAATAAGAGCTTCAGATGCACTGGTCACTCATTCTAGCATTAGGAGTCAAACAGAAATATTTTCCTGGGTCCAAAAAAAAGCCACTCGTAATAGAACAAGAGAACATGAGGTTACATACATATAAAAAGTTTCACTTTCCAGAGAAGAAAAGCTCCTGCTTTGGTTTGATCTATAGAGAGACTGAACATGACAAGACATCTGCTGAATAATGAAATGCTTCTAGTATTGCCTGAAAACAAACTACACACTTTAGAATACTCTTCCTGCTTCCTTCACTCCCAGTGGCAGTAAGAATGTTTCCTTTGGAAAGCAATTTTTAATGCAAACAGGAAATAAGTTGCAGTATTTTTGAGTTTTCTGATCCCTGAAATAGCATGTACTTGGTGTCAATTTTTGTGATTTAAAAACATGATACATGAGTAAAGATGAAAAAGAAACAAGACTGAGAAGAGTAGACACAAAAGGTTTACTCAGGCTTCAAACTGGTCTTTTGCTTCATGCCAGTACCTTGGAGTGCCCTTTAGCTCAAATAAATTCTAGGATAGACAACTCTTTTGAAGACTTAAAGAGGAGAACATTATTTTATACAAGAAACCATGAAAAATTTAGAGAGAAAAAACCCCTTACAAATGCCCACATTTCTTTAAGGAGACCACATCACATCACCGAACTACAGAGCTTAACCTTAAGGTCCCTCCAAAAGCATTTATCAGTGATAAAGCCATGAAAACACACAGAACTGTATAATTTTCCTGTTACCATCAATCTGCATCATGGGTTTTATAAAAGAAGTACTGGCAAGTGATTATGTCACGTCTCAGCTTCAACAGAAGAGGGTACGCACGAAAATTTGATTATATACATTTAATTCACAGAGCCATTCTGCCAGTACAAAATGTGCATCTGAACCTCATTAAACATTATTAAGGCATTTCTAGTAAAATACAAACTACAGTTTGGCATTTTTGTCTGTAAAACATCACAACCATCATAAATGAAGCAATATATTATCTTACCTGCTAAAAGTAATATAAGGAATACAGCAAAGAAGTCAGGATACTCTGCTAGCCCAGAGTAATTCATTTTGAAGTAGGTACTGAAGAAATGACCAATCTGTTTTCCAAGAAGTTCATCAAAGGTGCCACTCCAGGCTCTTGCTACACTTGATGTACCTTCATAAAACACATGCATGTTTAGGGTTTTGCATACATACAGCAGGATATAGCTATTTCTAGTGAAAAATAAATAAAACTAAGCCTGTTGCGACTTGCATTTTAAAAAGCAGAGCTTATGCTACAAATGAGTTTGTTTTGCTGAAGAACTTCAATGTTTTAGAATTTTTCTATGTAGTTAAATGGCAACATATTATTCTACAACTAAAATATAAAAATTAGTGTGTCACTTATTCCCAAAATATTGCAGAAATTATTTCATTTTCATAATTTATATCTAATGTCATTCTGGAAGAAGTTTGTTTCTGAAGTTACAATATGACATATTTTAAACAATATAATGTAAGAAAGCACTTTATGAAAGAACATGGAGGAAAGTTTGCCCACCTGGAAGTAAAGCAAAAAAAAAATCATGAGCAAGATATGTGTTGCTACAGTTAGTATTTAAAATTAATACTCTCCTGTGGTAAAGAGTGCACATGGCCATGGCCAAATGCAACCTTATTTTTACAACTCTCCTATCATGAAATACACTTGAGTACAATACTGGGGTATATCAATTTTTTAATGATTTGGGCAATCATCCTGTAGTTAGGTACAGGAGCTAGGCATGTTCATACAAAACACAGTTTGTATGAGTGAGGCGTGCTAAAACAAAATATAATATAATGGAAGTTTGGAACATGTTCCTCTGGAAGAAATAATTTTTGTATCAAAAAATGTTATCTCTGCTGAAGCACTGAGATAGTTATTTGAATATCTACCATATAAGCATTGGTTTCATTCAGATCTGGTCAACTTTGTATTTTATGGGATTACCTGATAGGACAGTGCTTAATTAGCATGATACTATAGTAGCAAATTAGTACTTAAACACCATGACTTTCTTGAAGTGAGAGTGGGTCCCTGTAAATGTCCTTGCTCTGTATATTCAGAAAAAAATGCTTATTGATTTTATTGAAATTATTCTTGCTGACCAAAGACAGCAGTGAAATCCTGTTTACTCTTGTGCATCATCACTGAATTGTCTGACCCAATTTTCATACAAGGTATGTGGTTCATACTTCTCAAAACACACTCTTACAAAAATATCTTGCACAAAAACCTGTTTGCAATAGGGATGCACAGGAGGAAATAACTTAATCAAAGTACTTTGGTTATTTCATCTCACCAGGACTAAAAAGCAATAGCAGCTAAGTACAGAGACAGAAAAGAAAGACAGACCTAAATCTCTATCTTATACCTGCTGTCTCAGAAACCAAGACCCATGTTTGTTCTTAAGCTTACCTATAATATAGGATAAAATGAGATTCCAGCCAGTGATAAAAGCCCACAGTTCACCAACAGTTACGTAAGTATACAAATATGCAGAACCAGTCTTGGGCACGCGAGCACCAAATTCAGCATAGCAGAGACCTGCCATCACAGAGGCAAGGGCAGCAATGAGGAAAGAAATAACGATGCTAGGTCCAGAATCAGATTTGGCTACTTCTCCAGCAAGGACATAAACACCAGCACCAAGGGTACTTCCTACTCCCAGGGCTATAAGGTCCACGGTCGATAAGCATCGGCACAACTTGGTGTCCTCAAGGCTTTCACCACTGACATTCTTCTTCCGCACCAGACACCTAATAAAGGACAAAGCTGGTCCACAGGGCAACATAGTGGATGTAGAGCTGTGAAATAAAAGAAATCATTGCAGAATGTAACAGATAGCACAGACACTGCTGAAAAACAATGAAAAAAGTATTTACATAAAGAACTTTAATCACATCTACTAACTAATATATTTACACTCTTCTGTGATGTTAAATAAGCTAGCATTTGCTTTTTCCCCAGGGAAAAAAATTAGGGATATAATATTCCTAATTTTATATTTACCACTTATGTCCCCAGGGAAAAAGATCCATTATCTTTTGGTTTACTACACTGCTGTAAAAAAGGAAGAGATTTTATCTATTTATCTGCTAATGGCCACTTCTTAACCATTTCTAAAACAGAAACAGTATATTGCTAATGGCCACTTCTTAACCATTTCTAAAACAGAAACAGTATATTATCTCATATACCATAAGGACTTCTAAAATAAGGATCAACATCAACATAAATAAGGACTTTTGGCATCCATCAAGGCTATAAACAGCAAAAGCTTTAAAATACAGCATTCTGACAGAGCCAATTCAATCTCCTTTTGTCTTCAAACACATCACTTTTGCCTTTACAATTTGCTCAGTAAGAACTGCTTGAAATCAGATTAAAAGTGTTTCTACTCTCTCCTGCACCAGTGAAGTTTCCCAGATCTAATTATCCTTCAAGAAATCTTGTACACCTCTCCCTGACAATTATCTAAAAAACCCTGATGGACTAACTGCTCATCCCACGCCAGCTGCAGTTCTTCAATATTCTGAGTGTACATCGCAATGTGGGGTGCAATCAGCTCTTGCCCACAAGCCCAGATTCTGTGACCAGCCTGGTCCTGGAGGCCAGCACGTGGGCAGCACTTCTCTGGCCTGTGACATGGTGTACTGGGTCTGGCTGAGCTGGAGTTCACTTCCCCATAGTATCCCTCACAGTGCTGTGCTTTGCATTGGTGGCTAGAAGGGTGTTGATAACACACCCGTGTTTTGGCTTCTGCTGAGCACAGCATCAGTGCTGTAACAATCCTTCCTCAATTGAGGGCAAGATCCTGGGAGGGGACCCAAGCAGGCCAGCTGACCCGAACTAACCAAAGGTATATTTCATACCATGTGCCATCAGCTCAGATATAAAAGCTAAGGCAAGGAGCAGGAAGGCAGGCATTCGTTGTCTGCAGTGGCTGCCTGATGAGGAGCCATTACATGTGCTAAAGCCCTGCTTCTCAGAGGTGGTCGACCATCGCTGCTCATGGGAAGTAGAGAATAAACTTTGTTATCTTTCGCTTTGCTTTTGCGTGCACAAGCTTTTGCTTTGCTTTTGCTTTAATAAACTGCCTTTTCCCAACCCACGAGTTGTTTTCCATCTTATTCTCTCCCCTCTCTGGCTGGGGAGTGATAGAGCGGCTGGGTGAGCACCTGGTGTCCAGCCAAGGTCAATCCTCCATACATGGGTGCCTGTTATGAACAGCAATGATCCTGCTTCCCAACTCAAACAAATTATAGCTGAGGGTCCAAAGCATTTGCTTGGGAGGGAGGACACAGGCATCCCATAGAACATAATATCTCAGAGGCAGCATTAATGTACAAGTTCTGTCTTTACATTTTTGTTTGAATTGTATTGTTGATGGCTAAGAGTTTGGTAAGGATCACGCAACACAATCTGCCATCTCCCTAAACTGATGTTTGTCTTTGCAACTCATACCATAAATATCTATACTCTGCTCATGACTTGTTAAGTGGAACCCTCTTGGGAACTGAAAATCTATTTAATTTATCATAGAATCATAGAATGAACTGGGTTGGAAAAGACCTCTGAGATCATCAAGTCCAACCCTTGATCCAACACTGCTGTGGTTACTAGACCATGGCACTGAGTGCCACATCCAGTCTCATCTTAAAAACTTCCAGGGACAGTGAATCCACAACCTCCCTGGGCAGCCCATTCCAATGTCTGAGTACTCTCTCTGAAAAAAAATTTTTCCTAACATTCAACCTAAACCTGTCCTAGCACAGCTTAAGACCATTCCCTCTTCTGCTGGTTGCCTAGGGGAAGAGACCGACGCCCACCTGGCTACACCCTCCTGTCAGGGAGTTGTAGAGGGATGAGGTCTCCCCTGAGTCTCCTCTTCTCCAGGCTGAACAACCCCAGCTCTCTCAGCCTCTCCTCATAGGACTTGTGCTCGAGTTCCTTCACCAGCCTCGTTGGTCTTCTCTGGACCTGCCCCAGCACCTCAACATCCTTCCTGAACTGAGAGGCCCAGCACTGGACACAGTACTCCAGGTAGAGTAGATGAAGATATTCTGCTGGTATACACTTTCCTGGTCTGTATCAGTTTCCTAGACCAGTAAAGAACATTTCTACTCACAGTAGTTCAATCTGCTAACAGAAATGACTTTGCATCAAGATGGATAGCTCAATTAACAGTGTTTGATCCTAGAACAGAGAGTCAGAACAAGAGAACTGCCATCCTGAAATGAGATTGCTTGAAAAAAAAATCCCCTTGTGAGAGAGAAATCTGTGCAGATACAGTTTCTCCCTATTCCTGTAATAGCTCCCCAAGTACACTCAGACATGCCACTTCTGTCTTCAAGGAGAATCCCGAAGAAAAATGGTCTCCATTCCCTTTCAAGTAAAGGGAATTTGATAAAGGATAATGAATGGAATTGAATAGCTCTGGGCAGAGATGCTTAATGCTTAGAAAGGTGATAGCTGGCCCAGGACAGTAGAAGGAGACAGACGGGCAAGTTTTCAAAGCTTTTCTGCAATTAGGCAGGCCTTTCAGCCTGCCAGACTCCCAGAGATAAGTATCTGCCCATGGTATGTAGACTTCATCCACTTAGGAGATTTCATAAATCAGTTTCAGAACTCAGATGATATTCATGTCAGCAGAGATCCACCAGATCTGAGGGGAATCAGCATTGAAGTGTTCAGGCAAAATCCTCTGCTGTGTGTCCTGAGCTCTTCAGAAAGAGCAGCTGTTTTTTGGGCATGAGGCTTAGGCACTCCACTCCCACAAAGTCAGGTTTATCTATCCTGGGCTGTACTTAGACAAGTATTCCTGACTATCATGTTTTTTCCCCATAATGACACTCCTGAAACTGTAGCAATGTTATATTAATATACTTATTAGTCTGTAGCCCATGGTGACAGGCAGCAATGCTCTTGTGACTCCATGCCCTTCACTAGCAATTTCAATGTTGCAGAAACATAGCTTTTTTAAGGAATTATTTCCCTCTCTCCCCAAATGATATTTCATTTGGTATTTCATTAACACGAAAAAATACTCTGGCAGATGTTGTTCTCAGAGCACTAAACGATTTCCAAAACTCCTGTTATTCAAACGACATCTCAGATTGCTCTGCTTCTTTGCCACTTGGGACAAGGAGGTCGTAGAGTCATTTTGCAGTGGCCAGGTGAGAGATGTTATGGTTTTCTCTGCTGAGAAGAAATCATTGTGACAAAATAGAAGGAGTTTTTCTGCTTTCTCTGATTCTTGTGGAGAGGACAGGAGGCTGGTTCTTGGTGGCTACAAGCCAGTAAGAGGAAACACCTGTTCTGACTCAAATCCAGCCTTTCTTCTTTAGCCTTTACAAACTGCAGCACAACCAAAGACAAGGTTCAATATAAAAATCCTTTGTCTGTAGAGAAAAAAAACACCTCACATGCATGGGAAACATATCTTTTTAGGTATATCCATCCTAACATGGACTTGATGAACAAACGTTCTTTTACAACAATCACTGCAATGATCCAGAATCTCTTGCACTACTTCCTATACTTACCATGCATATATGCATAGTGAGCAATGTCTGAACCCTGCTTCACAAGTTCTGTTGCTGTGTACCAAGTGCAGTACTCTATGTCAGACATGGCTGAGACATTCCACGACTTCCTACTTGATAGGATGGTGCAGTATGAAGGACTGATGAGCTTACAGAGATATTTAGCCTTCACACAGGACCAAAAGACATAAGTAAGAGGTGACAAAGTGTCTTCAGAAATCACTGACAAGTGTAACCTTTTCCTGAGGAGTCACTTGTAAAGCAGATCCGTTAATGCATTACCCAGTGCAAGAGAACAGCCTGGGCAATGACTCAGTGCTGACATGTACTGACTCACAAGCACAGTTTATCAGAACACTGGGGCTAAGCACGTCTCATGCTCAAATACAAACCTACAGAAGCAGAAAACTTAACAGCTGGGTATGCCTTTTGGTGGCAGCATTGTCCTAGATAAGCTTACACTGACTGCCACCACACAGTCTTAAAAATGGTCTTATTGCTGCAGACTCACAGATCTTATTCCTTTGAGACAAATCTCATAGTTTTCTTTTCTGTCAATCCTTAGACAAAAAGGAACATGAAGTAGGATAAAGTGAACACATTAAAAAATTCTCTCTCCTACTTTTTGACCAGCAGGTTTCAGTATCTTCCTAATTGCTCCTTTTTACTTCTTCCTTTCCCTGCTGCAGCCTAAGCCTGCCTTGTCCTAGCACACTGTGGCCTCTGCTTCATCTTGGCCTCTGCTGCCACGAGCTCTGCCAGCGCTGGCCTTGGCACTTGTTGAATATCCTGCATAGCTCTTCTCTGAGCACTGGCTCTTCTCTGAGCCTTCCTGGGAAGGCACACTTGACAACTTGGGAAAGGGGGGTTTTGACAATATATTGGATAATCAATCAAGAAGGAAGAGAGTGTTTTCGAGGCATCTCTGACACACGTGTCCTACATTTCTTGGAGCAGACTTGGATACCTGCCTGCCTTTGAACAACGGCATGTAGCCTGCAAGTAGAATTAGTCAGGGTGGCCTGAATTGTTCATGCAGTTTAAACAGAGAAAAGATTGAATCCTGAGCTTATACAGAGTTTAAGCATAGGCAATTAGAGATAAGAAACCAAAAATGGAAAATGCCCTTGCATTCACCAACAGTGTACAGTTACTTCTAATTAAGGTGAGGAGCAGACCCAACCTGATGCTTCTCTCATGCATTCAAACCTGTCCTTAGCTCCACTTTGGTGAAGTCTGTGTTACAGAGACATTTGTCA